TTTATTCTTCTTTCTTAAGATTGCTGTGCCTATTTGGTTTCATATAAATTTTTGAAGTATTTCTTCCAGTTCTGTGAAATATGCTGTTGGCATTTTATAGGGATTGCATTGAATTTATAGATTGCTTTATGTAGTATTGCCATTTGAATAATGTTAATTCTGCCACATGATAGATATATTCTTCCACTTGTTTATATCTTCCTCTATCTCTTTTTTTCAATGTTCTGAATTTTCTGAATACATGTTTTTTAATCCTTGCTTAAATTTATTCCTAAGTATCTTAATATCTTGTAGCAATGATAAATGGGATTGTTTATTTAGTTTCTCTTTCTGAGAATTTATTATTGGTGTATGAAAACACAGCCAATTTCTAGGTGTTAATCTGTATCGCTACATTGCTGAGTTCATTTATTAAACCTGATAGTGTTTTGGTGGCATCTTTAGAATTTGCTATGTACAATAGCATGTCACTTACAAATAGTGACAGTTTTACTTCCTCTTTTCCAATTTGGGTGCCTTTTAGGTCTTCCCTTCTCTGATCTCTGTAGCTAAGACTTCCAGTGCTGTCCTATAGGGTAAGATCCTAATATGCAAATCAACTGAGCTGCAGAAGGACTGATAGCTATGATACGCAATGACCACCAGGGGGCAGACGCTTAATGCAGGGGGCAGCTCCTCTGTTGAGGATCTGCTCCCTGAGAGTGAGGTAACCAGCAACAGCAATCGGGGACGGGGCGGGCTGGCCAGTGGGTGGTGCCAGGCCACCAGCCAAGGCAGGTACCAGCAGGTGGGGGTAGAAGACCCCCAGTCATCCCACCCCCTGGTTACCCCCCAGATGGCCCTGATTGCCAGCCAGGCCTAAAGACCCTACCCTGTTTTTTGGGAACAGTCTTAGATTTCAAAATTAAAACCTGGCAAGGGCCAAAACCGGTTTGGCTCAGTGGTAGAGCGTCGGCCTGCGGACTGAAGGGTCCCAGGTTCGATTCCAGTCAGGGGCATGTACGTTGGTTGTGGGATGGGGGTGTGCAGGAGGCAGCTGGTCGATGTTTCTCTCTCATCGACATTTCTGGCTCTCCATCTCTCTCCCTTCCTCTCTGTAAAAAAATCAATAAAATATATTAAATAAATAAATAAATAAAACCTGGCAAGGCCACTCCAACACTGAAAAAACAGGATGATGCAGCGATGACATGCATGGACTCTGGCTTGCACATTTGTGGTCAGCCCTAATTCTAACACAACTGTGTGACAAAGTCAATTACTTAGCTTCTCTCTGCTTCAGTTTTTCTACCTATAAGATGGGGAAGGTGGTACTACTGCCTCAGAAGGTCATGTTATGTACTACTTTTTATAACCAGGGCAAGAAAATGTAGCTGCCCATACAACAGCAAGATGTCTTTCACCTGTATGAAAAGTATGGTCACTGTTGCTTGCAGTGTCCCAAATTGCGAGAGGGATGTCCGACTGCTGGTTTAGGCCCGACATCTCCCAATGGGCCCTGGATTGTGAGAGGACACAGGCCAGGCTGAGAGGCTTCCCCCTTTCCCCCACCAGCCCTCCCCTCACTCTTGTGCGCCAATTTCATGCACTGGGCCTCTAGTGTTGAATAAGAGTGGTACAAGCAGACATCCCTGTCTTGTTCTTATTCTTAGGGGAGATGGTTTTATTTTTTTCCCTTTGAGTATGGTGTTCACTGTAGATTTGTCATATGTGGCCTCCATTGTGTTGATATACAATCCCTCTATTCCCACTTTGCTGAGAGTTTTGTTTTGTTTTTAATCAAAAATGGGTGTTAGATTTTATCTAAAACGAAGATATTGACCTGTAATCCTCTTTCTTTATAGTGTCTTTATCTGCAGTGTCTTTATGTATGTGTGGAATTAGGATAATTCTTGCCTCATAAAACGAGCTTGGAAGTGTTCCTTCCTCTTGGATTTTTGAAATAGTTTGAGGAGTAGAGGTGTTTTAGTTCTTCTTTGAAAGTTTGGTAAAACTCCCCTGTGAAGCCATTGGACCATGGCTTTTGTGGCTGGGAGTTTTTTGTTTTTGTTTTTGTTTTACTGCTTCTATTTCATTAGTTATTATTGGCCTATTCAGATTTTCTGATTCTTCCTGATTCAGTTTTGGAAGATTGTAGTTTTTTAGGAATTTGTCCATTTCATCCACATTGTCCAGCTTGTTAGCATATAATTGTTCAGAACTGGCTGACATAACACCAAATGCAGAGATGGAATTCAACCTGCTCAAATCACCTTCTTGGATGACCTCTCTGAAGACTAATCATTAGAAGAACAGGTGGGTGGTCTCTAGAATTCCTCTACTTCTACCCTCTTTCTCTTGCAGGTCAACAATGAACGGCTGTATCTCCCTTTGAAACTGGGACAAGGGAAGATAAATATCTTTTCCTTTGGCTTCCACGTAGTGGTGGAGACAGATTTCGGCCTGAAGGTCGTGTATGACTGGAAGACCTTCCTGTCCATCACAGTCCCACGGACCATGCAGAACGGCACCTCAGGTCTGTGCGGCCGCTATAACGGCAACCCCGATGATGACCTGGAGATGCCCATGGGGCTGCTTGCATCCAGCATCAATGAGTTTGGGCAGAGCTGGGTGAAGAGGGACACCTTCTGCCAGGTGGGCTGTGGGGACCGCTGCCCCTCCTGCACCAAGGTGGAAGGTTTCTCCAAGGTGCAGCAGCTGTGCAGCCTGATCCCCAGCCAGAACGCGGGCTTCACCAAGTGTCACAGCAAAGTCAATCCCACCTTCTTCTATAAGAACTGCCTGTTTGACTCCTGCATCGATGGGGGTGCGGTGCAGACGGCCTGCAGCTGGCTGCAGAACTACGCCAGCACCTGCCAGACACAGGGGATCGCCGTGACCGGCTGGAGGAATTACACATCCTGCTGTGAGTCCTCCCCTTATCTTGCCTAGTGTCTTGATTGTGTGGACGTGCCAGTCTTCCATCTCCATAGGCGGCAGAGGAAGCTGAGCAGAGCGAGTGAAGGATAAGCACTTTGGAATTGAGTTTATTGTCTGAAACGACACCTGTGACCTCCCAGAGCCTCCATGTCTTTATCTATAAGCTTGAGTTAATAGCACTTATTTCATATGTTGCTCTGAGGATGAAATAAAATCATTTACTTTTTTCTTTTTAAAAAATATATTATACTTTATTATTTTAAAAAACCTTTATTTTTCAGTTATGGTTGACATACAATATCATATTAGTTTCAGGTGTACAATATAGTAATTAGACATTTATATAACTTACAAAGAGCTCAGCCAATAAATATATTACCCATCTGACACAAAACATACTTATTACAATATTTTTACTATAATACCTTTGCTATAATTTACATCCCTTGACTGTTTTGTAACTATTAATGTGTACTTTTTAATCCCTTCTCCTTTTTCATTCCTTCCCCCAAACTCCCCTCCCATCTGGCAACATCAGAATGTTCTCTGTATCTATGACTTTGTTTCTGATTTGTTTGCTCACTTATTTTGTTTTTGAGATTCCATATATTAGAGAAATATGGAAGAATTAGTTTTTTTCTTTCTCTGTCTGATTTATTCCATTCAGCGTAACACACTCTAGGTCCATCCATATTGTTGCACATAGTAAGATTTCATTCTTTTTTATGGCAGCATTATATCCATTGTACATATGCACTATTTATTCTTTAGACTTTCATTTATTGATGGACACTTAGGATGCTTTCATATCTTTCATATTTTAAATAACTCTACAATGAACATATGGATGCATATGCTTTTGAATTGAAGTTTTAGGTTTCTTTTGGTTATAATACCTAGAAGAGAAATTGCTGGGTTCTTCTTTGTCCCTTTTTATAGATTCTATTGTAAAGTCTGTTTTGTCTGGTATAAGTATTGCTACCTGAGCTTTTATGTTTGTTTCCATTTGCATGAAATATATTTTTACATTCATTTACTTTCAGTCTGTGTGTGTCTTTTAATCTGAAGTGGGTCTCTTGTAGGCAGCATATGTAAGGGTCTTATTTTCTTATTCATTCAGCTACCTTATGTTTTTTTTTTGGGGGGGGTGCATTTAATCTACATTTAAAGTAATTGTTTACAGATATATAGTAATTGCCATTTTATTATTAATATTTTTCATCTTTTTCTTCTTCTTAAAGAAGACCCTTTAATGTTTCATTACTGCTTTGGTGGTGATGTGCTCTTTTAGTGGTAGCTCTTTGCCTGTCCTTCAATTCTAAATGAGAGCTTTTTCTGGGTAGGGTAACTAACCTCGATTGCTTCTCCTCACTTTGGATATTTTGTGCCAGTCCCTTCTGGCCTGCAAAGTTTCTGTTGAGAGATCAGTTGGAAGCCCCTTGTAGGTAACTAGCTGCTATTCTCTTGCTGCTTTTAAAATTCTTTGTCTTTAACCTTTGGCATTTTAATTATGTGTCTTGGTTCAAAACTTTGGGTTCATCTATTTTGGGACTCTCTACACTTCCTATGCTTATATGTCTATTTTCTTCACCATATCAAGGAAGATTTTCATCAGTATTTCTTCAAATAGGTTTATAATTCCTTGCTCTCTCTCTTCTTCTGGGACCCCTATGATGCAAATGTTGGTACAATTGATGTTGTCCCAGATGCCCCTTAAACCATCCTCATCTGTGTTTTTTTTTTAAATATGCATTTATCGATTTTAGGGAGAGGGAGATAGAAACATCTGTGATGTGAGAGAATCGATAGGCTAGAGATCAAGCCTATAACCACAGGCATGTGCCCTGATTGGGAATCAAACCTATACACTCTCTCTCTCTCTTTCTCTCTCTCTTTCTCTCTCTCTTTCTTTCTTTCTCTTTTTTAAAAATATATTTTATTGATTTTTCACAGAGAGGAAGAGAGAGGGATAGAGAGTTAGAAACATCGATGAGAGAGACATCGATCAGCTGCCTCCTGCACACCCCCTACTGGGGATGTGCCCACAACCAAGGTACATGCCCTTGACCAGAATCAAACTTGGGACCTTTCAGTCTGCAGGCTGATGCTCTATCCACTGAGCCAAACTGGTCTCAGCCCTATGCTCTTTTGATGCATGAATCAGTGCTCAACTACTGAGCAACACTGGCTGGGCCATTCTCATCATTTTTCATTGTTTCCTTTTTGCTATTCTGCTACCTTATCTTCCAGATTGCTGATTCTGTACTCTGCTTCATATAATCTATTGTTGATTCCCTCTAATGTATTCTCCATTTCAGTTATTGTATTTTTTCATTTCTGACTGTTTTTTTTTTTTAATGTTTTCTATCTCTAATTTTATGTTTCCTATCTCTTTGTTGTTGAAGTTCTCATTAGATCATTGTGCATCCTTATAACCTGTGTTTTGAACTCTGCATCTGGTAGATTGCTTGTCTTTATTTTGTTTAGGCTTCCCCCCCCCCCCCCCCCCTGGATTTTAGTTCTGTTCTTTCATTTAGGACATGTTTCTATGCCTTCTCATTTTGACTGTCTCTCTGTGTTTGTTTCTATGTATTAGGTAGAACTGCTACATCTTTTCTTGGTAGAGTGGCTTTATGTAGTGGCACAGTCTCCCTGGTCACCTGAGCCAGGTGTTCCAGATGTATCTCTTGGGTGTGGATGCCTTTCTGTTGTAATTTATGCTTGGTTGATCTTGGCTGGTTGCTCGGGATGATTGTTTGTGAGGACTGGTAATTACTACAGCAGAATAGTTGGGTAGGGGCTGACCCTATGAAGCAGGATTCGCTTTAGTGGGGCTCTGGTGCCTGACCTCTGAGTGTGTCATTTGTGGTGGTGGTGCTCTGGTGTGGTTTAAATCTGGCCACTCTGTGTTGGTTATGGGGCCTCTTGGTAGGGGCTCTGGTGCAGGCCAAGGTCGGTTGCTGCCTGTGCCCTACTTGGGGCTACTTGGTCTGAGCCATAAAGTTATCTGCAGATGGCCGCCACTTGTCCTGGGCTTGCAGGTACCTGAAGAGCCTAAGCTGTGAACTGAGGCAGCAGCTAGTGCCAAGATGATGGCTGCATAGAAAGACATATGAGGCATGCTAAGGCCAGATGCTGTTTGTTTGGGGTTTGTAAAACTTTGAGAGATTTTAGAAAAATCTCACAACATGAACCAAGATAGTCTGTTTGTAAGGAAAAGCCACTGGAAGCAGGTTGAGTGGACCTGAAAGTTGGGTGGGGCAAGGTGTCAGGGAGTCATAGGGCAGGACAAACAGTTTTAGATAGGTTAATGGAGACTCAGACATGATGCCCAAATGTGAGTGCAGGCTGGGTATTGAGAGGGATCAACAAAGGAACAATGGATTATGTCTGGGACACTTATGTCTGGGACAGAACTACTCCAGTCCTTGTCCTGAAACCAGACAATTAAGTTTTCCCCATATTTTCCTGTCAAGCTGCTGCCCCAGCGCTGGAGCTCGGAGTGAGTGAGACTGTCAGTAAGTCCATGTGTGTGTCCTTTAAGAGGAACTGCCTGGGACTCCAGCAGCCTCTGTCTCACTCAGCCACGATCCCTGCTGGTTTTCAGGGACATCCCAGCAGCCAGAAGTTATGGGGACTTCTCTTCCCAGCACTGTAACCTTGGAACCTGGTGTGGGACTAGGACTCCTCCCTCCTCAGGGGAGATCTCTGCCATTGGGATGTCCCTTCCAATTCTTATCTGCCACAGGTGGGTATGGGACAGCTCCTTCTATCTGTCTCGATGTGGTTTCTTCTGTATATCCTTAAGTTGTAGGACTTCAGGAAGTTCTGAATGATGGCTGTTCAGTTGTAATTTTTATGTGGTCATGAGATGTGGCAAGCACAGCATTTACCTGTTTCACCAGCTTGACCCAATCATTTATATATAACACAGAGTCTGCAGCCGGTGTGGCTCAATGATTGAGCATCAACCAGGAGGTCACACGATTCTAGGTCAGGGGCACACAGGAGGCAGTGATCAATGACTCCCTCTCATCATTGATGTTTCTATTTCTCTCTCCTTCTCCCTTCCTCTCTGAAATTAATAATATTTATATTTTTTCAAATTCTAACGAAGGACCTATAGGAAAAGAGTTAGTTAGTAGGTTAGTTAGTTAGTTAGCTCTAGAACTTCATGGGCCCATTCTTTACTATTAATATATAGGCTTTGTCTAGTGTGTTAGTCTATTTGATTCATATATGTCATGTATCAGACTTTGTGCTTATGACACACCATAAGGTGTAGAGAGCCCCTTGATTCTAGCCTTGCCTTATCCTTGGAGCATTTCCTCCCTAGTTCTTAGTCTCCTCTACCCCTACCCCCCCAATAATGCTGTGATACAGCCTTTGTCTACACCCTTTATGCTACAGAAACACCAGGAGGATAACATTGGGTCGTTGACAGACAGCAGCACGTTTTATGCATGCTAAATGGTATTCTTACACCAGTGGCTTGCTGGGCCAGTCCCTGTGCTGAACATTTCATCAGCATCATCTTATTTATTCTCTCCAGTGACCCAGTGAGTTGGCAAAACCCGAGACTCTGAGGAATTACATAACTTGCCTAAAGTTATACTATCTCAGTGGCAAAGTCTGAATTTGACCTTTTTAATCTCAAAGCTTATGCTCTTAACCCATACCGTATAATGGTACACTATGTACTGGAAACAATCTGCCTTCATCTAACTCAGTGTACTAGGAAAAAACTGGAGGAGAAATCACTATTGCCTAGTGTTTTCCCATCTCAGTCTCCTTAGCTACATTGACTTCTGTTTAGATCTAGCTGCATAAAAAGGCTACAGAGAGATGCCAAATGCTGGGGCTCTAAAGACGTGATAAGCCTTGGTCGCAGAGAACAAACTCCCTTTGCATTCTGGGGAAGGAGATTTGGATGAAAACCCAGAAACAGTGTTATCGTTTAATACTCCACAGTTCATTTATATTCCACATAATTAGCTCATGTAGCATGTGGGAGGACAGGGGAAGAAGGAGAGAAATGTGTTCATAGCATTTCATCCAGAATTGGCCCCCGAGTGAGGTGCTGGAGCCATGGTGCCAGGAGTGACTGGCACACTCATTGCCTCTGTAACTTCATAAACAGGCAACAAAAAGCCAGCGGCCAGGTAACCTGGAGCCGCCATGGGTTCATGGGGTCAGCCCAGGGCTGTGGTGCCGGGGCCCTGAGCGGGTGCAAGTGTGGACAGAGTTTTGAGGACACTGCTTGCTCCATCCTGAGACCCACTGCAGGGAGCCCCTTCCCCTGCCCCCGGGGCACGGCTGACCTGCCCTCCAGGAGGGCTGGGCTGGGAGAGGCACAGCGTATGCCATGCCCTGGCTCCCCCTGCTGTGAGCAGATGTCACAGGAAGAATTGTTCTGAGGAACTAATGCCAGGAACTCTCATCTTAACTGTGGGTCTCATATTTCTCACTTAAGAGGAGGAAAGGAACTGAGTTAGCAAGCCCGTGTGACATCACTTCTGAAGGCAAAGGTCTCCCTACCGCTTTGGAGCGAGGCCCCAGGGCTGACCATCAAACGGGGTGAGGACGCAGGTTAGGAAGGGGATTTCGTGAAGATCTGAAGACATTTTCCTGTCCTCCCACCCTTCGACCAGCAGCCTCTCTCCCCCTCCTTGAAGTTTGTCCCGGACACCAGTGGCCTCCTCAGCATGTTGCGGTGGAGAGCTGGGCCCAGGGCCCTCAGCGCAGTGTCCTCGCCTCAGCCTGGGACCCCATCCCGCCCGCCTCTGCTTCCCAGTGCCCATGGCATCTGCGTGGCCTCTGGACGGGGGATGGCCGAGGAGGGCCGGAGAGATGGTGGCGCTGGCCGCAGAAAGAAAAGCTAACCCAGAGATAAGACGATACTTTAAAGACCGTGTGGGTGAGGGTGGGGAGCACACACATGGGGGCAGCTTAGTTTTTCATTTCAAATGTAAAAAGCAGAGAAAAATCTGTGAGAGCCCGAGCCCAGCTCAGCCATTCAATCTGAGAGATCGGAGAGCAGAGACAGTGGGTCTTGAGTATTTTTGTTTGTGACCAGATCTGACCAACCACGAGAAGTAAAGGTGGGACGAATGCCCCTCCGCGTTCTCCGGAGAACTGACCCATCGGTGCCCAGGCTGCAATGAGAGGCAGTGCAGGAGGAAGGTCAGATGTGGCTCCGCTGAGCGGGTGGAGGCTGCTCCGACGGGCAGTGCGGTCAGCAGGCCTGGAGACGGAGTTAGTGCCAGTTCCTCACCTGAGACCGCACTCACCCGGTGGGACATCCCGGGGAGGGGAGGGAATCGTCTTGATTTCTAACCGATTCTCAAAATTCATTTAACTGAGTCTATCATGCTCTCAGAGCCTTAATAGGGGCGACTTGCCTGGCCAGTGTGGCTCAATGGGTGAGCATCGACCTATGAACTGGCCATGGTTCAATGCCCAGTCAGGGCACAGGCCCAGGTTGCAGGCCCAGTCCCCAGTGTGGGGCGTACAGAAGGCAGCCGATCAAAGAGTCTCCTCATTGATGTTTCTCTCCCTCTCCCTTCCTCTCTGAAATCAATACAAATATATTTTAAACAATAAAATAAGATGAGGACTCACAGTGCTCGGGAGTGAAAGGAAATAAGAGAAGAAAGCGGTCTGTGCATCAGGATCGGCTCTGACAAATGCCAGGCCTGCTCTGTGGCCCATGTGGCTGTTATAGCTGCACCCAGAGGCAGTGTGCTCCCCAGTGAGTGCTGCCTCCCCAGCGGTCAGGCCCGGCCCTGGGGCCTGGAGGCTCCCCTCATGCAGAAGGCACACATGGAGGATCGGGAGCAGGTGGTGTCCGCCAGCCGCCGTGGCATCACATGGGGTGGTGTCTCCTGCGCGGCCACAGGCCTGGTGCCTGGTCAGTGTCATCAGGCTGACTAGTATCATATCCTTCTCCCTGTCACCAGTGGCTGCTTCAGAGTCCTGGCTGCACAGTGTGGTACTGAGGGATCTTCTTACAGAGTCCTCCGGGGATCAGTGAGCTTCGGTGGAGTAACAAGGAAAGCTACTACTGCTCCTCCGACAGGGCCTGCTCTAACAGGAGCTACCACCTCACCCGGCATCATGCCAGAAGCTTTA